TAGAAAAAAAAGAATAGAACAAAAAACCTAACTTCTAAAACCTAAATAACCCCTAATTAAATGTATCTATCATCATATTGCTCAAATAATTATTCCACCTAATGGTCACATTGGTCACATTGGTCATTTTTTAACTTCTTCTTCTCAATAATCTGATCGGTGATCTCTTGTTGATCAAATTGAACGATATTCATAAGCTGAATATATTGATGAAGAAAAATATATGAAATTTAAAAAATCATGTAAAAGAAAAAAAAAATCTCTAAAAGGTATGGAAAAATGGAAAATGCACGATGTTAATTTTTTTTTTTTTTTTTAAAAGTTGACCATTACAATATAAAGAGCAGTAAGACCAACTTCATATATACCAAATGGTCAAAGCTTTAAAAAGCCTTAAAAGTTAGCTTATAATCTTTGATTCGTCAATATTTTATTTAAAAAGAAAAATTAATTTCGCATAATTAATTTGATGAAAAAAAATACATTTCCATAGCTATTTCCTTAAAATCAATTAGCAAATATTTTTATCGAAATTATAATCAAATTGCTTTTAACAAAGCTGTAATTAATCAATGCTTTTATCACAAACATAATCAATACTTTTATCAAAATCATCAAAATCATAATCAGCATAATAATTGCAAACAAACTATATCATTTCATAGTATCAGGTATTATCACAATACAATGAAAATCATCATAAAATAATTGGAATAATCAATAAGTTTGATTGATTTTATGATTTTATGAAGCTATAAAAATATGAATAAAAATTAGATGGAAGATGAAAAATTGGAAATTAATATTGCAAGAAATAATTTAAAAATCAAATGATAAAAGTTGAAATATTTGTTGTATGTAATCAAAATTCTAAATAGTTATTAATTTTAAAAGAATTTCGAAATTTTCAGAAAAAATTTTGTAAACAAAAGAAATTTGAAACAAATTTTTCAATAATTAATTTGTTGGGAAAACTTTTTTTTCATTGATAATTGTTAAAACAACAATATGAATGAATGAATGAATTAATAAGGCTCACATAAAGCACATAACATTTCATAGAATTGATAATTTGTTTCACCACAAACATCCTTCTTTTGACCTTTTCGACCTCTTAATTCGCTAAAGAAAGTAAGTGCTTTATCTAAATCAGAAAATGTTTGTGCTAAATGATGTTTTATTTTACTTATTTCTTCTTCAGTTTTTTCATCTATATCACTTTCTTCGTCAAATTCATCACTTTCAGTTTCTTCACTTCTTCCCGCTTGATTAACTTTTTTTGATACTGTAGAACGTGCCATCATTTCGCCAATTTCCTCTTCTTCATCATCATCTTCTTCCTCATCCTCATCTTTTTCCTCTTCTTCATCTTCTTCCTCATCTTCCTCATCTTCATCCACATCTACCTTTTCTTTTTCTTCTTTTTTAAAAGTATGACCTTTTGCACTACTGGTGACATATTCACTTTTTGTACTACTGGTGGCACATTCACCTTTTGTACTGCTGGCGGCACATTCACCTTTTTTACTGCTGGCGGCACATTCCTTTTGTCCGCCAAAATTGGAGCCACACTTAATTAAATTTAAATGAGACTTTTTCATTTCGAAAAACTTTGATGTCTTGACAGAAGAATTAAATATTCCATACAATAACGCAAAATAAATAAACTTTTTTAATGATTGAAAATCAGGAAAAAAAATCTGAAAATAGAGAAAAACGATGGAAAAGCATTGAAATTATATTAGTGGAATTAATATGTATTTTAAAATTTTGAATTTAAAAATTTCATTCAAAATAATGGTTTTATATATGTATTTCAAAATAATAGTAATAATAACAATAATAGTAATAATAATAATAGTAATAATAATAATAATAATAATAATAATAATAATAATAATAATAATAATAATAATAATAATAATAATAATAATAATAATAATAATAATAATAATAATAATAATAATAATAATAATAATAATAATAATAATAATAATAATAATAATAATATAATAATAATAATAATAA